CTTATGAATGTTGAACTCTATTTCAAAGAAGAGAATGAGGAAGTTTTATTCACGCAGCTTCCTGTCAACCTGGCTGACTGAGAACAATTATATATAGTAAACTTGGTCTACAAAACACACTTGTTAAATAAAAATTTTCTTGAGATTCTTTTGGACAACCAAAATGTTTTGCCGACAACCAGGTTTTGTCAACAGGTTGTCCGCTGGACAACCTAAAAAATTTCCTCATGTCTACCCCTGTTGAGATGTCGATGTATACCCAATAGTTACATTTTTAGTTTCATTAAAATCCATCTACTGGTTCATAGAGTATTTTGATAACGCTACAGGCAAACTCACACATGGATACAGGCAAGAACATCCTTGCATTTCACCTGAGTTGGGGGACAAATCTAAAATGAGGACATTCTGTTCAGAAATCTGATACTTTTTTATTTGCGTCTCTCTTCTCATACAGTGCTGTTACTAGCTATCCTTGTTTGTCTTTCCCGTTCTTGAAGATGGTGTTGATGGTAAGCAGGCCCGCCGCACCAACTCCTCCACGCCACTAGGGGAGCTCTTTGACCACGGTCTGGACAGCTGGGCGTGCATATTCTTTGTGGCCACGGTGTACTCCATATTTGGGCGTGGAGAGAGCGGCGTGAGTGTGGTCATACTCTATTTCATCCTGTGGGTGGTGCTGTTCTCTTTCATCCTGTCCCACTGGGAGAAATATAACACTGGCATCTTATTCCTGCCCTGGGGATACGACGTCAGCCAAGTGGTAAACACACAGACATACACACACGTAAAAGTTTGACTGCAGCTTGAACTAGCCAGTCTTTTAGGGGGTTGATGTTTCATGGCTCATCTCCCTTCAGACAATCTCACTTGTTTACCTGGTCACTGCTGTGGTGGGTGTAGAAACCTGGTACCAACCAGTCATTTGGAACCTCCTTTATCGAGATCTGTTCACCTTCATGATCATGAGTGAGTTATGTTTTGGTTTATCTGAGATTATTCGTTCACTTACTCTGACATCTGTTAACGCCGACGTTTGCCTGTTTTCAGCTTGTTCCTTTACCGTGACTTTACCCATGAGCCTCTACAATGTCCTGAAGTAAGTACACTGTAGAAAATATTTTGTCTGATTTTAGTTTTATATTTAATGCAATAATTTAGATCTTTTGAAGTGATTTTTTTATAGAAATGTTATGAAAAATTAGTCCTGAATAAAGCTGAATTGTTAGAGCTAAAAGAAGCAGGGCACTAGCTAAAAGCCAAAAATAGTGAAATGCCAGCCAAAAAGTAAATTTCCACTAGTGCCACTTAGTGTCGGTACGGTTCCAAGCCATTTTCATTAGGCCAGATTCATGGAACCAGCCCTTTTTTAGTACCTACTTTGTTGTGGTTCCAAGCGGTCCCAGTCGACACGAAAATGCGACATCAGAAAACTGTTCGTCACTGATTGGCTAGGGGGTGGAGCCACTGGTTGCGTCTGAGCTGCTTTTACAACAACCACCCAAGGAGCCATTTTTTTCAATTGTAGCAGTGATATTAGTTGTTTCCAATTTTAATTTTTAGCAAATTTTTAAAATTTTACAACTTATTCGGCAAATGTGTTTCCATCTCTCATTTTGCGCATTAACTTTCTTTTTCGAAAAACCCAAAAACCAACAACCGCCCAAAACACACCTACTTGAAGTGGACTGGAACGTCAATGGAAAAGCACCTGAACTGTCCGTACCGACACTGACCGTACTAGGGCTGTGTATTGGCAAGAATTTGGCGATACGATACATATCATAACAGAGGGGTCACGATACGATATATCCTGATATATTGTGATATATTGCGATTTTTTGTCCAAAAATTCTATTAAATAAWAACCTCTTACTGAAGGAAAAGAAAAGCTAATGTTTACGTACAGTGCTTACATTGGCTGTGTCCAAAACGACAGGCCGGGTCCTCCGGAGGACCCAGACTCCCCGGTTTCGGCGGGCCGGGTCCTTGGTAGACCGGGAAGACCGGAAAAAAGAGTCTGTGAATTTGGACGGTCTAGCCTCCCCTCCTTACCTGGCGTACGTCTTGTCACCTAGCAACTGTGACGACGCTAAACAAGCAAACTTAAATCAAAACTAGAAAATTATCAATACATTAGCATTATTAATATCACAAAACTATAAAATTAACTTAAAAG